GGACTGCTGGGAGGTATAGTCCTCTGGGCAGCCCTTGAACTAAAAGACTGTGTGGGACTACAAGTCCCAGGGAGAAAGTGCTAGGAAAAAGACCGGAAGCCTGGGGTTCTAAACACAGTTCCAGGTGGAGAGACGGAGCGAGCGGTGCTGTGTGGAGCTGCAGATGTGTTTTTCACCCTTTGAACTTTGCAAAAGTGGATGACTCAGTGAAATGCCAGTGCTAGCTCCTGCTTGCAGGATCAGAACCAGGGGCAGACTGACAACTCATGGGGCCCCCGGGCAATAGGGGATCATGGGGCCCCTGTGTCCTTGCCCAAACTCAAAAAAGTCTATGAAAAAGGTACCAGGGGCATCTCATGGGGTCCCCTACTGACTCCGGGCCCTCAGGCAGTGCCCGAGTGTCTAAATGTTCAGTCCGCCCCTGATCAGAACTGACCCATTGGGCCTACCACTGCCGATGAGGGACTGTGCCCTGGAATGGAGGGACATAATGGGAAAGGCTATATGAGCCCAGAGTTCCACTAGCTTCAGATTAGACCAGATTTGAAGGCATCTGATAATGCAGGAATCGGACTATCCTACATCCAGGGTTCTGGACATCCACTAAAAGAGGAGGCTTCACAGCAATTTGCCATGTGGTGAGAAGTCTCTGGCTACAATCTTGTTACTCTCCCCTTACACACAGTGGCACCCTAATTCAGGATTCAGTTTGGGGATTTTCCCCCTTATTACTGTTGGGTTACAACAGAACAATCCAACATGATCTTGGGTGCCAACGTTAGCCAATGTCAGGTATAGCACCGGTCAGTGGGAGGGACGAAAGAGGGACTGAACCCCAGTTCATATATAAGGGAACTGGATGCATTTTGAACAGGTACGATTTTCAGTACCGGTCAGCTACGATTTCCACTTTAAAAATTTGCACCTGAATCACACGTAAACTACTGAACGAAAAATGGCATCAGACTCTTTTCATAAATCGAACTGAAATTGACCTCGCACAGATGTGAACCCTGCCTGAGACTTTTAGTCTCTGAGTAAATATAACCCATATTTAGGGCTCTCCTATTGTCCAGGACATAAGAGGTGTGCATTTTACCCCTTTAAGCCAGGATATGGGTACCCGTTGAGGTTGTGTTTAGCAATATGGCATTGCCTAAAAAAGAATCGGGTGAAGGGAGTGATGTGTGAAAGTATAGGGGGTAAGCAGTAGGGCCTGGCGAGGAACGGGTGAAAGGAGCAATGTGTGAAAGCATAGTGGGTGCATGGTAGGGCCTGGCAAGAAACAGGTGAAAGGAATGATGTGTGAAGCGTAGTAGGTGCACAGTGGGGTCTGGCAAGGAACGGGTGAAAAGAGCGATGTGTGAAAGCATTAAGGGTGTATGGCGGGGCCTGGCAAGGAACGGGTGAAAAGAACGATGTGTGAAAGCATAGTGGGTGCTTGGTAGGGCCTGGCAAGGAAAGGGTGAAAAGAGCGATGTGTGAAAGCATTGAGGGTGTATGGCGGGGCCTGGCAAGGGTGAAAAGAGCAATGTGTGAAAGCATTGAGGGTGTATGGCGGGGCCTGGCAAGGGGCAAGGAAAGGGTGAAAAGAGCAATGTGTGAAAGCATTGAGGGTGTATGGCGGGGCCTGGCAAGGGGCAAGGAAAGGGTGAAAAGAGCGATGTGTGAAAGCATTGAGGGTGTATGGTGGGGCCTGGCAAGGGGCAAGGAAAGGGTGAAAAGAGCGATGTGTGAAAGCATTGAGGGTGTATGGCGGGGCCTGGCAAGGGGCAAGGAAAGGGTGAAAAGAGCAATGTGTGAAAGCATTGAGGGTGTATGGCGGGGCCTGGCAAGGGGCAAGGAAAGGGTGAAAAGAGCAATGTGTGAAAGCATTGAGGGTGTATGGCGGGGCCAGGCAAGGGGCAAGGAAAGGGTGAAAAGAGCAATGTGTGAAAGCATTGAGGGTGTATGGCGGGGCCTGGCAAGGAACGGGTGAAAAGAGTGATGTGTGAAAGCATTGAGAGTGTATGGCGGGGCATGGCAAGGAACGGGTGAAAAGAGCGATATGTGAAAGCATTGAGGGTGTATGGCGGGGCCTGGCAAGGAACGGGTGAAAAGAGCGATATGTGAAAGCATTGAGGGTGTATGGCGGGGCCTGGCAAGGAACGGGTGAAAAGAGCGATGTGTGAAAGCATAGTGGGTGCTTGGTAGGGCCTGGCAAGGAACGGGTGAAAAGAGTGATGTGTGAAAGCATTGAGGGTGTATGGCGGGGCCTGGCAAGGAACGGGTGTAAAGAGCGATGTGTGAAAGCATTGAGGGTGTATGGCGGGGCCTGGCAAGGAACGGGTGTAAAGAGCGATGTGTGAAAGCATTGAGGGTGTATGGCGGGGCCTGGCAAGGAACGGGTGAAAAGAGCGATGTGTGAAAGCATTGAGGGTGTATGGCGGGGCCTGGCAAGGAACGGGTGTAAAGAGCGATGTGTGAAAGCATTGAGGGTGTATGGCGGGGCCTGGCAAGGAACGGGTGTAAAGAGCGATGTGTGAAAGCATTGAGGGTGTATGGCGGGGCCTGGCAAGGAACGGGTGTAAAGAGCGATGTGTGAAAGCATTGAGGGTGTATGGCGGGGCCTGGCAAGGAACGGGTGAAAAGAGCGATGTGTGAAAGCATTGAGGGTGTATGGCAGGGCCTGGCAAGGAACGGGTGTAAAGAGCGATGTGTGAAAGCATTGAGGGTGTATGGCGGGGCCTGGCAAGGAACGGGTGAAAAGAGCGATGTGTGAAAGCATAGTGGGTGCTTAGTAGGGCCTGGCAAGGAACGGGTGAAAAGAGTGATGTGTGAAAGCATTGAGAGTGTATGGCGGGGCCTGGCAAGGAACGGGTGAAAAGAGCGATGTGTGAAAGCATAGTGGGTGCATGGTAGGGCCTGGCAAGGAACGGGTGAAAAGAGCAATGTGTGAAAGCATTGATGGTGTATGGCGGGGCCTGGCAAGGAACGGGTGAAAAGAGCGATGTGTGAAAGCATTGAGGGTGTATGGCGGGGCCTGGCAAGGAACGGGTGTAAAGAGCGATGTGTGAAAGCATTGAGGGTGTATGGCGGGGCCTGACAAGGAACGGGTGTAAAGAGCGATGTGTGAAAGCATTGAGGGTGTATGGCGGGGCCTGGCAAGGAACGGGTGAAAAGAGCGATGTGTGAAAGCATTGAGGGTGTATGGCAGGGCCTGGCAAGGAACGGGTGAAAAGAGCGATGTGTGAAAGCATTGAGGGTGTATGGCGGGGCCTGGCAAGGAACGGGTAAAAGGAACAATGTGTTGGAAGTGTTGACATGAGAAGTTTCTATCAGGCTGCCAGGAGTCCTAATTTACAGCTCACACATCACCGAGTGCTGAATGCAACATAATGACACTTTAATAGAGCGAGCATGATCAAATACCAGCAGCGAGCATTGTGGGTAATGACCCGGACCAAACGAGCTTAGTAATGGCTTTTCCTTATCTATTTACCTGAGCCCACACCAGCACAAACACAACAAGGCGCAGTGTGCGATGAGGTCGTTTGGGATTTGGGAAGACGCTTAAATCACCCGGACACCTTCATTACATGTGTGTCAGGTGGAGCAGGGGGGTAAAGAGTTATGGCTGCTCAGTATTATCTTAAATACAGGGGAAAAAAAAAAAAAACTCCAAGCAGCATTTCAGTCACCAAACAAAATACGACCTCCGCCTGGGAACGTGAGGACAAAGCAGAAGACCAAAAAAAATGGTGCCGGATGATAAAAGAGGGATCGCCCTAAATACTGCGCTACGAATGGCGGGAGAGCCACGCTGCTGATTTATGACGCACAATGAAAAACGTCTATATCAAGCTTACAGCCGCCAACTTTGGATTCCGATGATCATTTTTCTAGTGCTGCTTTGAAAATGAAAAAGGATGGATTGGGTGTTATCAGCAAAACCTCCCCCGGAATTTTCATTACACACAAGTGATAGATCAGTTATAAGCAGAGTTTGGTGGGCTGAGTTGATGGTTCACTTATACCCTTGGAGAGCCCCGAGGGCAACATTTCCCTGCCATGCCACCTAGATCTTGTCCGGTCTGCCTCGGTGTTCTGGATCCTCTCGTATTTTGCATTATATAAAACAACCAACAAAAAAAAAAAAAGAACACGTGTTCAGGCCTCATTGTATCATGATATGCTTGATGAATATTAATGTGATACTAAAAGGTTTGTTTTTTTATTTTTTTAAAAGTAACAAACATCTTATACTTACCTGCTCTGTGTAATGGTTTTGCACAGAGCATCTACGATCCTCCTCTTCTCTGGCCCCACCCAGCAGTGCCCCCACAGCAAGCCGCTTGCAGTGGGGACACTCCTGTGCACTCACTACCGAGCTTAGTTCTCTGCGTTCATAAAGACACAGCAGAGTGTAGGTCGGCCCCGCCCCCCACTCCCTCCTTACTGGTTGTGATGGACAGCAGTGGGAGCCAATGGTTCCTGCTGCTGCGTTTGAGCTAATCAGGAAGAAGAGACCCGGGAGAGCCGATTCTTTCCTGCACATCGCTGGATCGAGATTGGGCTCAGGTAAGTATTGAAGGGGCTGTGGGAAGCTGCATACGTTTTTTTTTTCTGCATAAAATGCATGGAGATAAAAAAAAAAACCTTCAGCCTTTACAACCACTTTAACTCTGATACATAAAATTCTACAACATATAAATCCCCCAAGGGCAATACAATAATCAAGGAAATAAAGTATACCCAGGGGCGGACTGACCATTTGGAAACTCGGGGGCCTGGGGTCAGTAGGGGGCCCCATGAGATGCCCCTGGTACCTTTTTCATAGACTTTTCTGCATTTGGGCAAGCACACAGGGGCCCCATGATCCCCTATTGCCCGGGGGCCCCATGAGTTGTCAGTCCACCCCTGAGTATACCAATACCACTATAGGGCAGCACAGTGGCTAAATGGTTAGCATTGCCACCTGGCAGTACTCGGGTCGTTGGTTCGAATCCCAGCCACGGTACCACCTGCACTTCTATAGCGCTGTCAATTTACACCGCACTTTACATATATATTGTACATTCACATCAGTCCCTAACCCTCAAGGGGTGTACAATCTAAGGTCCCTAACTCACATTCATACATACACATACTAGGGTCAATTTAGACGGGATCCAATTAACCTACCAGCATGTCTTTGGAGTGTGGGAGGAAACCGGAGTACCCGGAGGAAACCCACGCAGGCACAGGGAGAACATGCAAACTCCAGGCAGGTGGTGCCGTGGTTAGGATTCGAACATAGCTGATGCACTTGATCTATGAAGACATTGATGGCATAAAGTATTGGTCATTAAATAAGCAGCAATAACAAGCTTATGAATGTGGACACCTAATGGTAGTGTAATATTTTGGGAACTCACCCTTTTTATGGGAGGCTCCCTCAACATGTTGCAAAGGGTACCTGGTACGTTTCAGAAAATGTAAGGGGTAAAAATACACACAACACACACACTTTTCTGTGGTGGTACTGTCTGCCAAACTGGACAGGGGGAATAATTCTTGTTAGTGCCTCAGCATGTGTACACCCCCTCCACTGCCTTTGCAGCTTAGGGAGGAGCAGTTGGCGGGGGGGGCACAAGTAAAAAATGCAGCTCAACCGCATGCTTCCCCCCCCACCCCAAACTGCCCGTGTAAATGAGGCCTTGCAGTACGGTTGGGGCATGGTCCCCTGCACTTGAATAGATCACATTTCGTGGCAGTACATTCTGCCAAACATGACATGTAGTATACATTTTACCAAGCCCTGCCTGTGGTCAATATGTATCACAAGGCCCCTTGCCATGTTAGCTTCCAGTTTGGCAGTCGGGGAGTGGTAAAAGTTCAGATCAACAACCTGTTTTTTCTGCCCCTTGGCTACATGTCTAAACAAGATCCAAGGGTAGGTGCTTTTTTTTTTTTTTTTTTTTTTTTTGGTATGTGGCGACAATATAAAGTTGAGGAATTGCAGGGTCATACTGGAGCTACCACAAAATAAGGAAAGACCCATCATCCACTGGCTGGTGATTTAGCAATTCGCAAATTCATTTGTTCCTCTTCAGATACAGTATGTGCGGAGCGGCACCAGAGGCGGGTCTGCAGCTGTACAGAGACAAGCAGGTGACGGGTCTGCTTTATGATTTCAGAGAAACATCTTACACAGGAATTCACGATTCCAGTCTACAAGTCCGGACACTTCTAGAAGGTTGCTCAGGGACCCAATCATTTCCAAACATTTCCAACGGTAATAATGTATAAAAAGTGATCTATAATTATCTCTGCTGCAAACTTGGGGAAATGATGAAATAGGGCTCTCAAGTAGCACATCTCAAGCCGATTTAAATCTCGGGAGGCTCTGGAGCTATTCGGGGGTCTTCTAGTCACATATATTAGCAATAAAGGTCTGCACACCACTATTATTAACCAAGTTAGTATTTTTACTTGTAAAAAAAAAAATGTTTTAGGGTGCTTAAAAAAGGTATGACTACGTTGTCAAGAATAATGAAAAGGTGAACTAATTCCAAATATCCTGGCCACCCCTCTGGACCCTGCTGCATGGAGGCCGCAATGCCCTGTGCTGCCGGTGTAGCGGTCCGTATAGGGCATCGTGGCCTCCATGCAGCAGGGTCCAGAGGGGTGTACGGACACCACAATACACAGCCCTAGTGCAAGTATCCATCATAATGCTTGAAATGGCAAATACTTTTTTCTTTGGTTGTGCCAACTTTATTTAACCACTTTTGGACCGCCTACCGCACTTTTACTGCGGCAGATAGGCCCTGCTGTGCCCGATCACGTACATGTACATGATCTGGCATTTCTGGGTAGGGGGAGCACAACAGCAGCTCCATCTATGCTGTTATTTGCTACAGCACATGCTGATAAGCAGGTCCTGGCCAGTGATTTGGGACCTGATCGGCTTAGCGAATGACAGTTTAGAACCCTGTGCTGACAAACAACACAGGGCACTGAACGGAAAGCAGCGATGTGGCTGCTGTTTTTCTCCCTGCAAAGCAGGCATATAAAACAGTCACATCTATTATTATTATTATACAGGATTTATATAGCGCCAACAGTTTGCTCAGCACTTTACAATATAACAGGAGACAATACAGCAACGATACAGTTCAATACAAGAGGGTTAGGAGGGCCCTGATCCTGGGAGCTTACAATCTAAGAGGAAGGGGCTAGTGGTACAGAAGGCAGTAACTGTGGGGGATGGACTGGTGGGAGGAATAGAAGATTCCAGTATTGGCTGAGGGCAGGATAGGCTTCCCTAAAGAGACAGGTTTTCAGAGATCGCCTAAAAGTGAGCAGAGTAGGCGATAGTCTGATAAATTGGGGTAGAGAGTTCCAGAGGATGGGGGATGCTCTGGAGAAGTCCTGGAGACGAGCATGGGAGGAGGAGACAAGGGAGCTAGAGAGCAGGAAGTCGTGGGAGGATGGTTTGGGTGATATTTGGAGACAAGATTGGTGATGTAATTTAGGGCAGAGTTATAAATGGCTTTATATGTTATTGTTAATGTTTTGAATTTTATCAGTTGGGCAATGGGAAGCCAGTGGAGGGATTGGCAGAGAGGGATGGAGGACACTGAGTGGAGGGATTGGCAGAGAGGGATGGAGGACACTGAGTGGAGGCCAGTGGAGGGATTGGCAGAGAGGGGGGTGGAGGACACTGAGTGGAGGCCAGTGGAGGGATTGGCAGAGAGTGATGGAGGACACTCAGTGGAGGCCAGTGGAGGGATTGGCAGAGAGGGGTGGAGGACACTGAGTGGAGGCCAGTGGAGGGATTGGCAGAGAGGAGTGGAGGACACTGAGTGGAGGCCAGTGGAGGGATTGGCAGAGAGGGGTGGAGGCCAGTGGAGGGATTGGCAGAAGGGGGTGGAGGACACTGAGTGGACGCCAGTGGAGGGATTGGCAGAGAGGGATTGAGGACACTGAGTGGAGGCCAGTGGAGGGATTGGCAGAGAGGGGTGGAGGACACTGAGTGGAGGCATTGGCAGAGAGGGGTGGAGGACACTGAGTGGAGGCCAGTGGAGGGATTGGCAGAGAGGGGTGGAGGACACTGAGTGGAGGCCAGTGGAGGGATTGGCAGAGAGAGGTGGAAGATTCGGAACGGTTTGTAAGGTGGATGAGTCTGACAGCAGCATTCATGATAGACTGAAGAGGGGAAAAAAGTAGTAGTAGTAGTAAAAGCATCACATATTACACACATCACACTTGTTAGGCGCACAGTCATTAGTACAGTGACAGTGTATAGTATCTGCACTGATCTCTGTATTAGTGCCACTGAAGATGTCAGTGTCACGCCCACAGCTTAGGCTGCTTTCACACTGATCTGTTTTTCCTCCGGGGAAGAAAAATGTGTGACCATGTAATCCTATGGAACTCTTCCACACTGATCCGTTGTGGGCCACACCATTTTTGGTGCAGTAAAAAAAAAAAAAAAAGAAAGTCTCTTCCCAATTGAAATGAATAGAAAACACAGCCCACATTGTCCACAAATGTCTCTTAAGAATTAATAGGCCATCATGCCATCCTGGGATTTGTAGTTCTACAGCAGATGGAATAGCAGAAAAATTACCTGCATTTCATAGAAAGGTTCCTCGCTCTATCTTGAAGTCTTGCTGATGGTCCATGTTCTCCTGGCAGGCTCACAGGTGAAATAATAATTAGTTCTCGCCATTAGTAATGAGTACAGCTGTGATGGTGCCTGCAGGGGTGGAAAACATGTGCTGCTCAGAATATGGCTCCGCACTGATGACTCTGACCAAGTTTTCCCAAATACTTTTCTACTGCTCTGACAAAACCTGATATACTCTACAAAGTGTACAGTATGAGTACAGGTAGGTGATCGTTGTGGGATGAATCGGGGAACCCACCTGCCATTGCTTTATTGGTGACTGACATGTGACCTTCTGGTACTTGCCGCATGGCCCTATGCAGACCTCAACAGTCTGCAGTGGAAGCCTTTACTTGTGAAGAAGCTCCAATTAGAAATGAGCTTTGGTGTCCTCCAAACTCCTATCTTCACTTCCACTTTGCACTCTTACCCACACGTCACATCGGGTGTAATTTGCAAATTGTATGCCAAGTCGCACCCTATTTTTCCGCTATTAGAGCGGTCTTATCGGTGCGATTCCAACTTGGTCGGAGCTGCACCGATTTCTAAAGTAGTACCTGCACTACTTTTGTTGCGATTTCCATAGTTATGTGTGTCAGATGTCTTGCAAATGGCAACTGAAATCGGCAGGTCACCTGATTTTGAAACTGTGCGACTTACATCGGATTTGATGTGACGGGGGGGGGGGGCTTATTAAAGTTTATCCCTTGTTCCATGGTGGCCATTTAAGTGTGTGTTTTAATGCCAGGGAGACATTGTGGCTCCTGTATCATTTGACCTCTGTGATTGCTTCTCATAGTGGTCACCTGAGCAGGTGCCCACCCCATTGGCTCTCATTCAGAAGCTGTGACCGCATGGTCAATTTGTTGGGAGCTTGCAGTGAGTGCGTTTGTGCGGGTGTTAAGCCCTGGTTCCCACCAGTGGTACTTGTCATGTGATTTGACAGTTTAAAATCGCATCTTATTGTTGGCAAGAGACCCGTTCAAAGTGGTGCAACTCCCACTTTGCGGTGCTGCACCAATTTGAAAAAAGAGGTTTCTGAGCTTTTTTTTTGTGATATTTTTTTTTTTTCCTTCTTCTTCAGGTGAGACTTGCATAGACATCTGTGCATGAAGTCACACAGATTTCTGCCAAGTCGCACCGACCTGTGAATTTGAAACTGTGCGACTTCAAAGTTGACTCCAGTGTGAACCAGGGCTAATGTGTTATGCAGTTGGCAAGAGCCAATCAGGGTGCAGGCTGGGTCATTCCCCACATGTAAACAAAGTGGCGGGATGCTGGTGACATTAGTACCCTTATATGGACACGTGCACGTATTTAGTCATTGTCTGAACATAGGCATGTGTCCATATAAAAGCTTACTCACATATGAGGTTGGGGGGCAGTAAAACTACTGCCCGGCCTACAGCTCACTGGACTTAAAGGATAACTTCACCTTTGGGAATATGTTAAATGTCCTTACTTTTTTTTTGGGGTGGGACATGTAACATGTTCCCATAGCTGCAGCCGCACCCTCCCTCTGACAGTTTGGAAGACACCTGAGTTCATCTCTAGTGGCCTGGTGTAGCACGTTCCCAGATTCTGACCACCTTGAAGTCTCTGACCGTCTCTGGTCTACTGAATATGATGTGTGAGGCACCGGTATAGGTGCCGATACTGAGTATTTTCATGAGTATTCGTAAAAATACTACTGATACCGTAAACGATACTTTGCTGTGCAATTTGCATTAATGGACGCAAAGATTAGCATGCAATTCCTGTCCAAATGGCATGTGGTTTCCCCATAACTCCTGCGTGAACCCAGGCCTGTCATAGCTCCGAGTTCACACAGGAGCGGTGCAGGAAACCACCCGACAGGCATTCCTTGCTGTGACAGTGGTAGGAGAAGAGATTGAAGGGAATGCTGGGGGGGGGGGTTGGGGGGGGGGGGGGGGGGGGGGGGGGGGGGGGTTCTAGTATTTGGGCAGATGAAGGGAATGCTGGCGGGGGGGGGGGGGGGGGGGGGGGGGGGTTCTAGTATTTGGGCAGATGAAGGGAATGCTGGGGGTTGTAGGATTTGGTGGGTGAGGGACATGCTGGGGATTGTAGGATTTGGTGGGTGAGGGACACGCTGGGGGTTGTAGGATTTGGTGGGTGAGGGGACGCTGGAGGTTGTAGGATTTGATGGGTGAGGGGACGCTGGAGGTTGTAGGATTTGATGGTTGAGGGACACGCTGGGGGGGGGGGTTATAGGATTTGGTGGGTGAGGGACATGCTGGGAGTTGTAGTAATTGGTGGGTGAGGGGACGCTGGGGGTTGTAGGATTTGATGGGTGAGGGGACGCTGGGGGTTGTAGGATTTGATGGGTGAGGGGACGCTGGGGGTTGTAGGATTTGATGGGTGAGGGGACGCTGGGGGTTGTAGGATTTGATGGTTGAGGGACAAGCTGGGGGGGTTATAGGATTTGGTGGGTGAGGGACATGCTGGGAGTTGTAGTAATTGATGGGTGAGGGGACGCTGGGGGTTGTAGGATTTGATGGGTGAGGGGATGCTGGGGGTTGTAGGATTTGATGGGTGAGGGGACGCTGGGGTTGTAGGATTTGATGGGTGAGGGGACGCTGGGGGTTGTAGGATTTGATGGGTGAGGGACACGCTGGGGGGGGGTTATAGGATTTGGTGGGTGAGGGACATGCTGGGAGTTGTAGTAATTGGTGGGTGAGGGGACGCTGGGGGTTGTAGGATTTGATGGGTGAGGGGACGCTGGGAGTTGTAGTAATTGATGGGTGAGGGGACGCTGGGGGTTGTAGGATTTGATGGGTGAGGGGATGCTGGGGGTTGTAGGATTTGTATAGATGAAGGGAATGCTGGAGGTTGTAGTATTTGGGTAGATGAAGGGAATGCTGGAAGGCAAAGTAGCCAGGTGCCAGGAATGCTGGGAGTTGCAGTAATCAGGTGAGGGGGATGCTGGGAGTTGTAGTCCTACCCCAGGCAGGTGTAGTACACATTTGGCCATGCAGCACACAGGGGGCGGCTCCAATCACCTGGCTCTACACCAATGAGATGGAAGAAATGAAAGGAGGAGGCGGAGTCACAGCTCCTGACAGGAACTCAGGTGACGCCATTACTCACCTCAGGGGATCGGCAATGACACCGACTGACCTGCAGGGCGGAGATTTCCTCCTGAGAGGGCGGGGCTCCTCAGAGTGAGCGGGGTCTGAAGAGGGGGCGGGGTATACTGTGAGGTGAGTGGGAGGAGTATTATCGACTGAACAATCACATCAAAGCAGTCAGTAGGTGTGGAAGGCGGGGCATTCCAGTGAGCGGGAAGAACTGGGGGAGGAGCTACAGCAATCTGAGGCGCGACTAGCCAGGTGAGGGGAGGGAGTGTGAGGTGGCCGAGGGGCTCCTCACTGCCTTCTGTTTGTGGCCGGGGCTACACTGCAGGTCGGTCTTAGGCCTCATGTACACGGCTGTTCGTAAAGCTGAGTTTTTGGCCAGATTCCTTGAGCTGCATTCAATAAAAGCCTGTGTGTCCATGTAGGCCTCTACCAGAGTTTAGGAGCAGTTAATCCCTCCAGAGGGTTCCCCACCTTCCTAACCAGGATATTTTTGCGTTACTTTGACAATTGCGCGGTCGTGCAACGTTGCACCCAAATTAAATTTGTCTTTTTTTCCCCACGAATTGAGCTTTCTTTCGGTGGTATTTGATTGCCTGTGCGGTTTTTATTTTTTGCGCTATAAACAAAAAAAATTACGATTTTGAGTAAAAAACTATTTTTGGCTTTTTGCTATGAAACATGTCCAGTAAAAACAATTTAATTTCCTCATTCATGTACACCAAAATGTATTCTGCTCCATGTCTGTGCTAAGAAAAAAAAGTCGCAATACGTGTAAATGAATTGGTTTACGTGAAGGTTATAGCGTCTACAAATGGCGGTGTAGATACTGGATTTTTTTTTTCACTAGTAATGCTGGCGATCAGCGACTTATAGTGGGACTGCGCCGGGCATTCTGACACTGGGGGGGACTGACTTGGCGTCACTGACATCCTCAGTGACACCAATATAGTGATCGTTGCTAAAAAAAAAAAAAAAAGGCACTGATGCTGTAGAAATGGCACTGGGCAGGAAGGGGTTAACATGGAGGGTGATCAAAGGGTTAACTGTGTGCAGGGAGTGGTTTCCCTGGGGGGCGGTGTCTGTGCTTCACTGTAATCACACTGCTTTGGATGGCTCTGCAGTGTGCTTGCGCTGATAGGGAGGAGGACTGTAAGCAGGGGCGGACTGACCATTTGGAAACTCGGGCACTGCCCGAGGGCCCGGGGTCAGTAGGGGGCCCCATGAGATGCCCCTGGTACCTTTTTCATAGGCATTTTTGAGTTTGGGCAAAGACACAGGGGCCCCATGATCCCCTATTGCCCAGGGGCCCCATGAGTTGTCAGTCCGCCCCTGACTGTTAGTAAACTAAACAGTCCTCCTGCCTGTTGGAGATGCTCGGTAATCACTGGCCTGGACCCAGTGATTGACATCCTCAGCCACAAATGGTGGTGCGGGCAAGGTGCACACTTGCCCCCTACCCAGTGCCGATCTGCTCTCTGACAGCTGCCAGGTATCTGCAGTACTTTTCTCCCGCTGTGACAGCGTGAGGAAAGTGCTGCCGCTAATCGGCAA